TGGAATGTGGATTGGAAGTTTTATTGTGTGGTACTGAAGGACAAGTTGTAAGGGGTAGTGTGATCCCCCCTTTGATTGCTTTAGGCTCTGTGTATTTGGTTGGATCTCCTTTTAAAAAAATTGTATTTGAAAATGTGTCTTTGGAGGTCAATAACCAAAATATACAAGAAGAAATGGGTCATGATGCAGATGGCCATGTGGCAGAAGGTAGTGTTGGTTTGTTGGATGGTGAAGGATCAACAACTTAAATGAATAACATGATTAGTAACATCATTAAGCACCCTTCACATGCTTTTCATGGTCATATATTCGGAGAAGACAAGACTTCAAGTACAATTTCACCATCCAAAAATCTTCCCTTCTACCTAGATATATTTGTGATTAGCATATTAATGTTTAATTAAGACATAAATTTAATAATATTATGGATTACTTGTGTTTGATTTCAAAACATTATGATATATTTAGATGAATAAATTGGTGTGGAATAAAATCCATATATCAGTACTTGTCTTGTTTTATGCTTACTTTTATTTTCTCATTTATTTAGTTATGTAATTCCCAAACAATATAATAAATAAATAAAATGTCTTTTCCGACATGCTAAATGAACTTTAATTATCATTTATTTAGGTGGCCCTCTTTGATGAGGATTTCGATGGCGTCTTTCAGGTGTATGCAGTCTTCTGTTATGTGACCATGGTTGCGGTGGAAACGACAATATTTGCTTCAATCGATATTGCTCTTTGAAGTTATTGGCTTGGGGAATCGCACACCTCCTTCCTTGAATTCGGCGTTGATACATCCAGACAGGATACGCTCGTCGGGAGCGGTCAACAGAGTATATTCGGTGAATCGGACGGCAGGCCCTTTGCGATCATGGGGACGGTCGTCTCATCGCCTATCTTTATCCTGCCTGGCGGTACCATCATAGAGAGTAAGCGGGGGAGGTTTCTCCAGCCCGCGAGGAATGCGGATGTCCATGATTTCCTATGATAGAGGACCGTGGGTGTTGTCTTTGTCGCTCGCGCTGGGCGACTTGCTGAAAGAATAAATGCGTCCTCGACTTCTGCTGCGTCGAGGAGAACGTTCATGTCAGCTTGTGCTCTTCGTGAAGCTTTCTAGAAGGCCTGGTCCTTTTTGGTGTTAGGGAGTGCCTGGACCTCCAGGGAGGGGTACGATTGCGCCTTCTGGTGATCTTGTGTCCATGCTTCTCCAGTTTAGACAATTCTTTGACTGGGAAGATGCTTCTAGATTCGTCTCAGTGGCGCTTCTGAAGAGGGGAATGAGACTAGCGAGATGGGCTAAGGGATCTTCGCGGGGGAGGTCACTCTCCGATGGTGTTCTCCACCATGTGGATTTTTTCTCCTTGTTGGAATAACAGATAGTTAGATTTGTTGAGGGCGGCAATAAGGGTTGCAGTGCAGGGGTTAATGTCTTGTGGGACGATGATAGGTCTGTATACATGGTCGGAACTCAGAACACGAGGCTTCACACCGTTAGAAGATATGGGTTTTCCGTCCCTGTAATCAGTTTCTATGGTGGTAGCTCTAGGAATGGGGGTTTCGCCGTAACCCAGAATGGCGATAATGGAATCTTGATGGACGTCATTATGGTGAGAGGTCATGACGATGAATGTTCAGTGAGATAACTTTGGTCTTTTGTCCGGGAAGATTTGGGAGTCTTGGTTCAAAAAGACGGGGGAGGTGGTGTTCCCACAGACGGCGCCATTGATATGGCGTGATCAGAATGAATCGTCTTGGCGTTTAATGTATGGCAGCAACAGTGATTGTAGAAGAGGAGGGGGTGTATCTGCAAGGTACTCTGATGCCAAAGTAAGTTTTTAGGCTAGAGAGAAAGCAAGTACAAGTGTTTAGGTATGAGTAAGAATGATTAGAATACCTGACCCTCTCAAGAGAGAAGGCATTTATGAGATTACCCCCAGCGCGGGGCCAAGGTCTCCCATGTGACTGAAATATCTAGTCGACCAATGAGGGACTACCAGGTGGAAGATCTAGCGTGTGATCTTTGACCTGGTCCAACTGTCCCCGTGACTTTCAAAGGGACAGTTGGTCGCGTGAACTGTCAAGCGTGTGGGGGAATGTCCCCAACGGCTATACGCTCTAATGGCTATATTATGCCCCACAGTCATATTGGGTCTGACCTTAAGCTAAATTGGATTGAGCCTTGTCCAACTATGGGGCATGTTCCAATCCATTCCAGAACAAGATTGTTTAAGGGACCAACTCACGTGAGATGAGAGGCTCTGCTAGCAGTCAGTGCTGCTAGGTTGTAAGCATGTGGTTAGATTATCAGTGTTAGGACTGTTGAGAGAGAAATTCCCTCTGAGCAGTATTGCATGGTGCCATGCCCCAAATTTGTCCTACATATTTTCCAAGCATTAGCAAAGTTTGATGATCGTCCTTTAGAAATTCATTTGGCCTTTGGCCATGATTCCTAAGAATGGGCCATGTTTTATCTATGTTAGGCTATGGTTTAAATTTGTCTTGTATTCTTAACAATCTTTTTAAGCAAGGAAGGGTGTGGTTTCATTATGAAAGGTGGTTAAAGTGGTGTGAAAAGTAAAAAGCATAATGGGAAGAATGAGTTCTTTTGGAAAGGAATTAGTGTGGCATGGCTTAAAAGCGAGTATAAAAGTTCAAGATATCTTGGACTATTCTATTCACTTCATGAAAAATCACGATTTGGGTATTATACAATTCTTATCATTTAAGTTCAAAAGTTCAAATTAAAATTGATCATGGAGATTTGAAAACAAGAAAGGTCAAGAAAAATTGAATTACAAGAGCACATTTTCCAATTTGACAATCTCAAAATAAAGCTCAAATATGCTAAGATGGTCGTATTCGAGTCACGTTACAAAAGCATAAAGGTGCCAAAATTCAAATTAATCACAAGAGTGGTGCCATGAATACTAACAGACAAATACCATCTAGTTTCAAATTGATTTCAAGAGCTAATCATAACATTTGAGATTAAGAAACCAAAATTCATTCAAGTTTAGAGTATACAAGTTATCACGCAATTTGGATCCAAAGTTTCAAAGCAATTTTTTGAATTAAAGAATTACAAGATAAGCTCAAGATAAGCTCAAGATATTAGAATATGTGAAAGGTTTAACAAGCTATTTCAAATGCTTGAAAACCAAGAATAATTACAAGTAAATCCAAGACTTTATTCTTCATGACAAGTTTGCCTCCATGCCAATTCTCGCCTATGCACTTTCCATATCCCTTGGAAACTCTAAATCAAACATAAGGCGATGCTGCGGCAAATGACGATGTTCAACAGGTCGACAAAGAGATGATATAAATCTAATAGGTGCCACTTTTATTTTCGACCAGATCAAGAAATGCAAATTGGTTTCTAGTCATGCAAATGATACCATGTTGGCTGCTATGCTTCATACTTATGGAGAATCCCGGGAATGTATCGTCATGGACCAAGCTTTTGAGGAGGGTTGGATGATGCCTCGACCTCCTTTCAAAAGCAGAAAAAGAATCAAAAATTCCAAAAGTGAACAAGTAAAGAATAGAAAGTGCTTACAAAATAGAGAAAAATCATTTGAAATTTCTCTAACATTCAAGAGTTACAGAATGCACCAAAAGTTCAAGTGGCACATAAAGGACTGCTTTGAAATCGACATCATCTTCAGCAGTAAAGCGGTTCCATGATAAAGTTTTGTCACCTTAGCAAGAGAGTTATAGAAATTGGTGTACTCTTCCTCTATAAATTCCATTGGACGGGCATGTTGGAGTGCTATTTGAAATTATGCAATCTTCCGTACATGTATTTGCAAACAAGGCAATGACTCCCTGTTATTTTTCCTTAATGGTTTTTACAACAAAGATTTCAGATAACCCTTAGGAATTTAGACCTTATGAGGCTAAATGTAGCGTGTATTTTGTATTCACAGTTTGCAATTGCAAGTGAATAAAGAAATTTCCACAGATTTGTGGGCAGAGAGAAACTCTGCAGAATTTTTCATCTTCTTTTCCAACGTTATTTTCTTTCTTTCATTGTCATTGTGTGATTGATAACAATCTTGAGATCAAGATTGAGCGTAATTCTCCATAGGTTATGGTTGAATTTCAACAATTTGTCTTCAAGTATAAAATAAAAAATTAACCCCATAAAGAGTGTGAGTTTTTCATTTTAAATAAAAATGTTATTTAACACGTACAAAATTATAACCTCAAATCCAAAGATAATATTTAATTTTAAATTTTTTTCTTTTATTTTTTATGAATTAGGTTTATATCCTTTTTTTTCTTTGTTAAATTTTAAACTTGAAAATAAAATATAGATTTTAATTTATCAAAAAAAAAATTATATGGATGTAAGGATTTTGTTAGTTTATTTGAGGGGATGTATTAGAAGGTTAAAATGAGTAAGTAAATGCAATGCATAAAGATAACATTATGGTTTTAAAGTAAGTGAGAGAATCTCGTGAGTGATTAACTTAAAGATAATATTGAGGGTTTTAGAGTAAGTGCGTGAATCTCGTGAGAGATTAGAGTAAGTGCATGAATCTCGTGAATGATTAACTAGAAGATAAATTTGATAGTGCATGAATCTCGTGAGTAATTAACTGGAAAATAAATTTGACGGTGCGTGAATCTCGTGAGTAATTAATGGAATATAAAATTGATGGTGTGTGAATCTCGTGAGTGATTAACTAGAAGATAAAATTGATGGTGTGTGAATCTCATGATAAATTAGAGTAAGTGCGTGAATCTCGTGAATGATTAGCTAGAAAATAACATTGGTGATTTTAGAGTAAGCTTATCAATCTCGTGAGTGGACGATCATTTGGTCATTTGATTGGACGATTATTTTTTATCTCATAAATTTATTTCCAAAATATTGAATAGTCTTTTATTTTTAAAAACAATTTAAAACATTAATAAAATAATAGTTCCATATCATTCGTCTCCACTATTAAAAGGTGGAAAGGAGAGGAAAGATAATAAGTGAGGATGAGTATGAAACAAAATATGGTGTTTGGTCGTGATATTGAGAGAGGCCAAGAGCTCCAACGATTCACGACACCACAAATACAAATTCAAACACCAAACACTAATAACACCAGTGAAAACAACAACCATGCATCATCGTCTATTGTCAGTCGTCGGCCCCGAGGGCGGCCCCTTGGGTCTAAGAATAAGTCCAAGATGCCTGTCACAATAGAAAGTGGCAATCCTGATGGCCATGTGTTTGAGATAACTACTGGAGAAGATGTCTCTAAGAGCATCTTTGATTATGTTCGTCGTCGAAGGAGGCGCATAAATATATTTAATGGAATTGGAGAGGTGGCGCAAGCTACACTTCGTCAACCCACGGGAAAAATAGTTACCATTCGTGGAAGATTCCAAATTATTTCGATGTCAGGAACATTTTTTCCATCACAGAGAACAACAATGGAGTGTGGATTGGAAGTTTTATTGTGTGGTACTGAAGGGCAAGTTGTAAGGGGTAGTGTGATCCCCCCTTTGATTGCTTTAGGCTCTGTGTATTTGGTTGGATCTCCTTTTAGAAAAATTGTATTTGAAAATGTGCCTTTGGAGGTCAATAACCAAAATAGACAAGAAGAAATGAATCATGATGCAGATGGCCGTGTGGCAGAAGGTAGTGTTGGTTTGTTGGATGGTGAAGGATCAACAACTTAAATGAATAACATGATTAGTAGCATCATTAAGCACCCTTCACATGCTTTTCATGGTCATATATTTGGAGAAGGCAAGACTTCAAATACAATTTCACCATCCAAAAATCTCTGCTTCTACCTAGATATATTTGTGATTAGCATATTAGTGTTTAATTAAGACATAAATTTAATAATATTATGGATAACTTGTGTTTGATTTCAAAACATTATGATATATTTAGATGAATAAATTGGTGTGGAATAAAATCCATATATCAGTACTTGTCTTGTTTTATGCTTACTTTTATTTTCTCATTTATTTAGTTATGTAATTCCCAAACAATATAATAAATAAATAAAATGTCTTTTCTGACATGCTAAATGAACTTTAATTATCATTTATTTAAGTGGCCCTCTTTGATGAGGATTTTGATGACGTCTTTCAGGTGTACGCAGTCTTCTGTTGTGTGACCATGGTTGCGGTGGAAACGACAGTATTTGCTTTGGTTGGTATTGCTCTTTGAAGTTGTTGGCTTGGGGAATCGCACGCCTCCTTGTTTGAATTCGGCGTTGATACATTCAGACAGGATACGCTCGCGGAGAGCAGTTAACAGAGTATATTCGGTGAATCGGCCGGTAGGCCCTTTGTGATCATGGGGACGGTCGTCTCATCGCCTATCTATGTCCCACCTGGAGGTTTCTGCTTCGTCTTTCTTCGACGCTCTGGAACTCTCTTGGTCCTTTGAGTCTCTGGCTTTATACACGGCTTCCTTTTCTTCATATTGAATATAGGATTATGCTCTGCGGAGAAGTTTGGCTAAAAAACGAGGAGGTCGATTTCTACTGCCTTGCAGAAGTCGCTATTCGGTCTCAGTCCCTTTTCTAGAAGATACTTCTTCATGTGGTCGGTTGTGCGGATTTCGACCGCTTCCTTAGTGAATCTGTCGATGTAATCGAGAAGAGGTTCGTCCCTGCTCTGGATGATATCCTCAAGTGTGGCTTCGGATTTCAGATGACGCTTGGAGGAAGTAAAATGTCGGGTAAACTGCTTCTTCAGACTCCTCCATGACATGATTAAGCCCCGAGGAAGGCTCTTATACCAAGCCATATCCCTCTTCCTGAGGGTGATGGGGAATATCCTACATTTGATTTCCCCAGTGACATTGTGGTAGTGCAGCATGACCTTAATGTTTTCTATGTGGTCACCAGGATCGGCGATACCATCATAGGGAGCAAGAGGGGGAGGTTTCTCCAGCCCGCGAGGAATGCGGATGTCCATGATTTCTTGTGACAGAGGACCGTGGGCGTAGTCTTTGTCGCTCGCGCTGGGCGACTTGCTGAAAGAATAAATGCGTCCCTGGCTCCTGCTGCATCGAAGAGAACGTTCATGTCGGCTTCGGTGCTCTTCGTGAGGCTTTCTGGAAGGCCTGATCCTTTTGGGTGCTAGGGAGTTCCTAGACGTCTAGGGAGGGGTACGATTGCGCCTTCTGGTGATCTTGTGTCCATGCTTCTCCAGTTTAGACAGTTCTTTGATTAAGAAGATGCTTCTAGATTCGTCTTGGTGACGCTTCTGAAGAGGGGAATGAGACCGGCAAGATGGGCTGAGGGATCCCCGCGGGGGAGGTCACTCTCCGATGGTGTTCTCCAGCATGTGGATTTTTTCTCCTTGTTGGAAGAGCAGATAGTTAGATTTGTTGAGGGCGGCGACAAGGGTTGCAGCGCAGGGGTCAGCGTCTTGTGGGTGATGATAGGTTCGTATACATGGTCGGAACTTTGAACACGAGGCTTCACGCCGTCAGGAGATGTCAGTTTTCCGTCCCTGTTATTAGTTTCTCAAGTGGTAGCTCCGAGAATGGGGGCTTCGCCGTAACCCAGAATGGCGACGATGGAATCTTGATGGACGTCATTATGGTGAGAGGTCATGATGATGAATGTTCAGAGAGATAGCGTTGGTCTTTTGTTCAGGAAGATTGAGGAATCTTGGTTCAAAAAGACGGGGGAGTTGGTGTTCCCACAGACGGCGCCACTGATATGGTGTGATCAGAATGGATCGTCTTAGCATTCAATGTAAGGCAACAACAGTGGTTGTAGAAGAGGAGGGGGTGTACCTGCAAGGTAATGTTGAATAAGCAAAATAAACAAGAAGTGGGTCGTGGTGCAGATGGCTATGTGGCAGAAGGTAGTGTTGATTTGTTTGATGGTGAAGGATTAACAACTTAAATGAGTAACATGATTAGTAGCATCATTAAGCATCATTCACATGCTTTTCATGGTCATATATTCGAAAAAGACAAGACTTTAAGTACAATTTCACCGTCCAAAAATCTTCTCTTCTACCTATATATATTTGTGATTAGCATATTAATGTTTAATTATGACATAAATTTCATAATATTATGGATAACTTCTGTTTGATTTCAAAACATTATGATATATTTAGATGAATAAATTGGTGTGGAATAAAATCCATATATCAGTACCTGTCTTGTTTTATGCTTATTTTTTTTCATTTATTTAGATATGTAATTTCCAAACAATATAATAAATAAGGTCAATAAGGAATAAATTAAAAGTTATGGTATTTTTTTTGTCGCTTCCGCGAAAATAAGGTGCCGGCAAAACAGAAGAGTCGCCACCTTTCGTTATTTATCCCTCAGAACGGGAAAGGAAACGATCGGAAAAACCTGACGAAAAGGGTAAGACAAGGTCGTCGCAACCATTGTCTGGGTTCGGGAGTCGGTTACGCAAGGGGAAGGTATTAGCACCCCTCACGTCCGTCGTACTCGATGGGATCCACGCTTGTTGTGTTTACTGGACGAGTTGGTTTATCTATCTACCTATCAAGGCTGGCTTAAACAGAAAAGAAACTGACTCGGCAAAGCGTTGCGCTTTATGTCTACGTATTCTCATCAGAGAATGAGAAATCAGAGTCAACGTAGTTCGACCTACTACGGGTTACGGGGAAGGTGGCTCGCCAATACGTCAGTATTGTGCCTACGTACTCTCAACAGGTATGGGAGATCAGAGCTTACGTAGTTCGGGATAATACGGATCACGGGAATTCAGCTTCATCTGTTTTATCGAGTAGGGTTAAACAGCAGTTCCAGCAGTTAGGGACAAAGCCTGTTTGCGTTGGCGCTGAAGTTTAACGACACTCTTTTCTTCAGAAAAGCTTTCCTTTGAATTACGGGCCCACGGGGCAAAAAGGTTTGAAGTTTGTTTTCTGTCTTTTACGAAAGAAGTGTTTTTTTATTGTGTTTTCAATTTCAATCGCACTAAAGACTATGACCTGAGAGTGAATGCGTCGCATGTCACCCAAAGGGTGCCATACTAAACATTCAGACTGTTGGAAAGAAGTTCTCCAACAATCCTTTCTCAGATAGCTTAAGGCTCGTAACGTACGAAAGAAATTATTCATGATTACTGTATCTTAAACTGTTTTGAGATGAGAAGAGAAGGGGCTCAACTAAAGGGAGACTATCAAGTCCTACTGTTGTCATGCCAAGGATTCATCCTATGGTGGAGGTTTGAAACAGGGAACTCCTAGAAGTTATCATGCATAGGTTTCAACCTAAAGTTCTAATCATCACTTCCTTATCAAGGGAAATGAGAGTCCTAAGGGATCATGTCAATGATACGCAGAAACAGATAAAGCATCAGCTTAAACAATAAACAGATATACAGTAAACGACTGCAAAATGCATGCAATGCAAGTGAGGGAGGAAATGTGTGTGGGGCATCAGCCTCCACAAGCTCATCTCAACCTCAAGCCAGATATGAATAACTACAATCATACAGAGGAAATAACAACATGCTATCAAGCAAAATACAATAAACTGCAATCATACAGAAGAAAAATAAAACATGCTATCAAGCAGAATAAACCACATGGGCAAGGGAGCTGGGCTCTAACGAATACCCGCAAGCAAAGCCATACAGTAACAATACAAGCAGAGGGAGCAACTCAACCTCTAGTGCAATCATGCTTCTAGATTAAAGTCAGTCTAATCATGAACTTATTCTAATGCATCAAGCAAGTCAAACAAGGCACATCAGCAATACAAAAAACAGACAAGAAAGAAACAGATCAACAACCCTCTCAATTCCAAGCTTCAGCTCTTCTGACATCCATCCAATCTTCAGACTTCAACAGCTCTTCAGGACTATCATCTTTCATGACAAATATCAATTTTCTTTTCCAGGTTTCAACCCTTCAACATAAGTTTCAACTTATCCTACTTTCCCAAGCTTCAGCTCTTCAGTCAATTCTACCTTCAGGCTTCACTCTTAAATGCAAGTATCAACTTGATTCCTTCAGGTTCTCCAAGCATCAATGTAAGTGTCAACTCATCCTTTATTCCTCAAGCCTCAGCTCTACACTCAATCTCAATTGAATCCTCTTCATAAGTATCCACTTAGTCTTCAAGCTTCAGCTCTCTTTGCTTTACCAGTCTCAACTTGGTCTTCTTCTCCTACAAGCTTCAGCTTCTCAGAGTAATCTTCAATCACCTGGAAGTGGCAACTTCATCCTTCAATTTTTGCTCAAGCCTCAGCTCTTCATTCAGTCTTTATTAGATCTTCAAGTATCAACCTGCTCTCCTTGCTCTTCAAGCTTCAGCTGTAATGGCCATGCTCAAGGAATCATCCTCTTCCACACTCTTCAATGAAGTCCTCATCTTCAACCTCAAGTCCCACATCTTTCAAGATACTCATACCAGAAGATAATTGATTTAATAGAGTGAGAGGAAATGATAAACAACTTACTAACAACCAAAGGAAGCCTGTAAGGGTTCATCATTATGAGAGACTGGTTCCCTCAAAGTTCTACTTCCCAGATAAAGTCACTCATCCTTCCAAAGGAGGGATGTGAATATCTGAGAAGGACTTTTAGTCATTGGGAGGAATGGAAGCACAAGATGCTTTCCATGTTTGTGAAAGAAGTTAATCTAACTACAAGGCTCTCCCTATATCCTATCTCCTAATCTTCATCTGACACCTTCAGGCACCAACAAATTCAAAGCT